GCTCTGTTTTAGCCATGTTGAATTTGAGCTGAAGGTAGGATGTCAGAGGTGAAAGCCAATATCTTTCTTTAGATATTGGATATCTGGAAGAAAGGGGGAAAACTGTACAGAATTTTTATTTAATACCAACATTTTGTGATTGTTTCGAGTTTGAGGCAAGAGTCACTTTTTTTTTTTTTTCCTGTTAGTGGCTTCATAAAACCTCATAGCCCTGCTCCATAGAGTATTTGATTGCAACCAAAACCAAGGTGAATTATGTACACATCTGCTGCTGTTCATCAAATATTTACTGACAGTTCCCAGAAGAAACTGGACCTTCCACTGTGTTTATAGGAGTCCTGCTGACATACAGGCTTTGGGAAAGACTGAAGTTACGTTACTTGGAGGATAATTTGCCTGGTTTAGGAGCAATGTGAAACTGGTATAAGTGGGTTATATGCTGTCACATCTTGTGATAGCCAGAATACAGGGCAAGCTGGAACACTGAGGAGAGGAGGCACAGCACTTTCTGCTAAATTTCTGACCTAAGCTCCAGAATAACTCCCAATCACTGTTGGAGTGACTGCTATCAGCTCAGATCCTCTGGAGTCTCTGCTGTCTCTTGGCAGAGCCAGAACCGAGATGCTTTAAGGCCACATTTCCCCATGTTCATCCTGGCAGCTCCATTTCCTTCACACACACACACACACATCATCCCTCTGTTACCATACTGTTTGTTTACTTTTATTTCTGTACTGTTTTGTCACCTACAAGATTAAATGAAACTGAAACAATAAGAAGGAAAAGAGTTGCAGCTCACTGCTTTTCTGAGTTTCATTCCTCTTTCTGATGCAATACCTAGTGGGTTGCCTAAGACTAGGAAGTTGCTACTTTTGATTGGGAAGGTGGTTGATGGTGCTAGGATGCAAGTGGAAATGTGGCAAAGGGAATAAATAAAATAAAAACTTTGAGGCAGAATCAACTGCTTCTTTCCTATAGATTAAATAATTCCGTGTATCAAGCATTCAGCACATTTGCCTTTGAACACCAGAGTTTTTGAAGCTCTGAAGCTTTGCCAGAGATTTTCAGTTCCATGTTTTGGCTTGTAGCAGGGGCATGAAGAAATACCATGCAAGACATGGACATTTGCATCTGTATAAAGACAAGCTGTGGCCTCCAAAAACTCCTGCAACATTTTAAAGAATATACACAGTGGGAAACATGTTTAATCAAGGATTTGTTTTTAATGCAGTGTTCATTTGACTTCCTAGCGAGTCGCAGAAGCCAGGTGGTTTCTCGCTTATGCAATGCCTTCATGAGCAGAGACGAAATTGGTAGCAGCAGCATGGAGTGAAAGGCAGAAAAACTCAGATCTCAGCTCTGTTACTGGGCGATTTTGTAACCCTGGGCAAGTCACTTGGCTTCATAGTTCCCTATCTGAGGAGAACAGGCAGGTAGTACTTACCATGTGTCTCTCACGTGGATTGCAAGGACCAGAGAGCACATGTTCCTCCAAAGCGTCCGAGCGCTAAGCGCTCTTACAGAGCCTGTTCTGCTAAGACAGCCCATCTCGCTATTGTCACTGCATGTGGTGCACATCCTGCAAGGCTTTCCTTGAGTATTCTCTGCAATGGCTTTTCCAAAACAGAAGGAAAATCCCCCTTGTATGAATTCCTTCCTACACACATATATACACATTTAGAGCAGCTATCCCGTGGTAGTTGGACATGCTGCAACACTTGGGAAGGGTTAAGCTTCTTTCATTGGGCTCTTTGGAAGTAACGTGTACTACTAGCGTGCTACCCAGTGTGCCAGGAAGACATTGGCTCGTGCGGAAGGGGAGGCGGGTGCTGAATTACACCCTCATTTAATCAAAAATCTGCTCGTTGGGGGCTATCCTAAAAAAAGCTTGGTCATACTGGAGGGAATAGGGTTGGCGGGTGCCCACCTGCAAATCGGAGTTCAGAAATTCTGGATGCGACGTAACTGTGCAGGGCTTGAGGCGTGATCCCTGCAGCGTTTCTTCCTTGCAATGACCGTTGGGGAACGTGTTTGCTTCCCTTCTCGGTGCTGTCACGCTAGGGGCTTTGTCAGATCAGGAAACATCACTGCTGTGCTTCTCCACGTCCCCGACTTGTCACAGAAATAGCTCTTTTTTAGATGTTCTCCTCTGTTCATTTCCATTATTATATCTGGTGCTTCTGGGTGGCAAGCAAAAATGAATAACCTTGTAAATGCTCCCTGTCTTTCAATTTGTTTTATTTTTTCATGCAACATGTCAGTGCATTTTTGTTGAGTGTTTTTAATAGGGATGAAGTTGCTGAAAATAAATTGCTTTGCAGTTCCTGCTGTGGGTGACAGAAATGCTGGGTCTGTAATTTTCCGAAACTGTGCATTTGTAGCCAATGTAGAGGATGTTCTGTATGCCTCCAACTGCAATCATCTTCATGAGATACCGCCCAGGAAAAAAAAAAAAAAAAAGATGGAAGAAAAAGTCAAAAAGGAAAAGGTAGAAAAGAGACAACAACTCTCAGTTTGAATTTAGGGGGCAAGATGCACTGGTATATCCAGCTTCTACTGGGCACAGCAAGAGAAAAAGCTGTCAAGGAGAATTTTAGGATTGATTCTGAGCCAGGTTTGGGGCTACCATATGGGAGATTAAGCCGGATCTGTGTCTAGTATGAGAGGGAGAATGAATTATGTAGCGAACTCATTTCTCAGAGCGTTCCTTAGGCATGGTTTGGAAAGTTAGGCTTGGGACTTAAAGACATGGAAGCCTCAGTGCCCATCACTACTGCACATTATTTTTTTTCTGAGCATTTCTAATCTGTTGTCAATCATCTTGCTCTAGAACTATAAGGTAGATAAATGGCCGTCTTCATATTATCAATATATACCTAGTGGATGGTCTGGCAGGTGCCCATCTCTTCCTGGAGAGGAGGTAATGCAGGTATTGAAAATGTGATTTCTGAATCAAGGTTTTTCTGTTTTTTTCTCCCAATCTCAATGGGGCAAAAATTGAGAGACTTGCCATGTTTTCATTTTTTTATATATATATTTTGATAAAAGATTCAGAAAAATGTAGTTTCCCCTCAATTTTTGAATATTGCTGTATTCTTGCCTGATTTTCTCTGCCTCTATCATGTTCAGTTATCTGTGAAGTCAGTGCTAACATCCGTCTCGTACTGCATTTTCTGCTGCATTTTTGTTGGGGAGGGAAGTGCAGTTCTCCTGTTCCACACAGAGTGCCACTGGAAGCTGCTGTTGAAGTTGGGCCTCAAATCGCACTCTGGCATTTTCAAGGCTAAATCCGTGCTCTTAAAATCAATTTTACTTTCTTCAGAACAGCTTTTATGCCTGTATGGCTCCATATTTCTGAGACTTTAAAAACAGAGTTAGTGAAACCTCCAAGCTTATAATCCCGTTTTCCTCGTTCCATTTCAAATTGAGAAATTTCCTCCCAGAGTATACTGCTTGAGGTGCAGAAAAGATAGTAGTCTCTTCTGAATTAATTATTTTCACTTCCCTCTTGAACTTGAAGAGTTGGATTAATAAAACTGGGAATAAAACCAACTTGCAAGGTGGGGAAACACAGTTCTGCCCCCTCTGTTGCACTGCCTGTGGGGAAGAGGACAAGGAAAAGCATACTCAAAATTTTGAAAAATCTCAAATATGTGTTTGCAAGGTATCTAGTGATATGTCTCAAAGAAGCTCCTCGGGAAGCTCAGTTCACCCTTGCGTTGTTGGAGCCTCCTTTGCACTCCTGTTCCCTGTGCGCAGCCCTGGGGAGCCTTTCAGAGGAGTTTGTCACACGCTCTATGGGCCTTCAAGCTGGCTAATAGCACCAAGGAACAGAAGGGGCTTTGCAGTCAAAAATGCCTGTGTTGTTCATGATCAGGATCATGATCTCTTTCAGATCCCGACCAGTAAATGTCATCGCTCAGTCTATTCTTGCTCTATTAGGATATTATGTTCTGGGCAAATAGGACAGTGGAGCAGAGAATCGCAGTGGAGATGGAGGCCTTGGAGACTTTCAAGCAGCCTTGTTGCCAGTGGAGGCCTGTTGCTTGGCCTGGGTTACAGCTGCCTCAGGTTTAAGGGGTCCGCTCGTCAGTGCTCCTGTCGCTTCCCTGAGGTAACTGCTCGCTGCCCGCTCTTAGGCCGGATTTCCAGAGAGTTAGGCTAAGCTTTCTTCTGCTTGGCTACCCATTATCCCAACTTAAAACAAGAGAGCCCTTCTGTGGCCAGTCCTTTCCTTTCAGAAGATTTGATTCCTGTCAGACTTCAGAGAGTTCGGTGTGAGGACTGGCTTCTTGTGCCTCGTGGCTAGGGCCTTGTCTGCTGCATTTGTACAACCTTCACATGGGACTCAGGGGACGGCTGCTCCAGCAAGTCATTGTTCTCCAGCAGGCAGAGCTGAAGCCCTTATGTAGCTGCACACATGCAGTTCTTTTGATATTTCTCCTAATTTCAACTCTTTAGCTTTTTTTTTTTTTTTTCTAAACTCCTTCTATTTTTTTGGCATCTACCTGGTTCTCAGGTGTCCGAGTCAGAACACTGTGTGAGTACCACTTTGCCAAATCTGTTTATAAAACACACATCAGCTTAGTGAGGGGACCTGAGGCTACATCTCTGTGGTCTCACTGCACAGTAACTTTCAGAGCTGCCATAAAAGCTTAGACCCATTTTTAATCTTCCTCCCCTCCAGGTCTTTTGAGTCATTTTTGTGTCCCCTATTCTCTCTCTCCAGAAGACTGAACACTGAATCCATCCATTTGCTTCAAATCCTTGGCAAGTCTGCAAGTTTGCAGAACCCCTATATTAATCACTCCCAGTCTTAGGTTCTGTTCTCCACTGCTTTTTCTCCCAGAAATATTCTGCTTAGCCATGGGTAAAAAGAGGTTTGTTTATATATATCTGTGTGTGTGTGTGTGCGCGCGCATGTATATACATGTCTCTGTTTGTTTAAGTGCATTGATATGCTAGTGTGTTTACCAAATTCTGTCTTTGTTATTTTCTAGGTACTTGGTGCTAGAACATGTGTCAGGTGGGGAGCTCTTCGACTATCTTGTAAAAAAGGGAAGATTAACACCAAAAGAAGCTAGGAAGTTCTTCCGACAAATCATCTCTGCTTTAGACTTCTGCCATAGTCATTCAATATGGTAAGTACAGTCATTTTCAACAGCAACTACCTGTGACATCAAAGCATATAATAATGGGATCTTACTTCTTGGCACTTTCTTTTACTATTAAGTAACTAGTGTTGTAAAGGCTTAGAAGTGCTGTATAAAATGCTGATGTATCTTTTTAATACAGTCTGACTGCACACCAGTCACAGACAGACTTTACATAGATTGTCCATGGTTTCGTACTGGAAGAGACTTCATTCACAGAGAATGCTTTAACCAGGAAAACAGAAGCCACAAGGGAAAAGCAGTTTAATTTCCATCATTCTTGGGGACGCTTGCCAATAACTGAGAATTGTATATGCTATATCAAAATGAGTCCCTGAAGAATTACTTGGGACAATTACCAATACTGCAAAGTCATTTTTTGATTTCCTTCCTTCCTTTGGTTTTGGAAATGTGCTAGCTTCTGGCAACCTTCATTAAGTCCCGTCTTGGCTTTTGACTTGGCTTTGCCTTTAATTTCTTTTCCAGTAGGGAACAATTTCCTTGATCCAACTGCTATTGATACTGACTCCATCAGATGATTTAACCATCAAGTATGTTTTAACCTGCACTTTCAGGTGGTGTTTTAAATTGGCTTGGTTTCTCCTTCATCTTCAACAAGTTCAGATAATTTAAATTATACCAAAATTAAGTTGTTACAATCAATTTGAAGCACAGAGTTTCTGTGCAGCTGCTGACCCATAGCTGCTTCTCGGTAATACGTCTCCTCACAGCTAGATTGGCTGAGAGGGGTCTTTTACATAATGTCTGCATGGCTGTTTCTGAGGAGCCACTGGCTGCTGCACATCCCCCCTCTCCACTAGGCCAAGGGCCACTGCTAGACACTAGAGTAGAAGGATTTGCATAATCATGGTATAGCTACTTCTCAATAAACATACAGTAGTTTTCTATTCCCTCTGGTTTTGTGCTGAGAACTCCCCAACCAGATATCTGTAGCATAAATGGCCACAGCAAAAATGGATACCTATATATTTAACTTGCTGCTCTTGTCCTATTCCGTTTGCATTGCTGACTCTTTCCAGTAGGATATATTAATGTAAAACAGAACATATTTCCGATAAATGGAGAGTAACAATCTTTCTTGAAGATATACTGAGACCATGCTGATAGGGGAATGGCCTGTTCAAAGATGGTGGGTTTGGGGACAAGTTGGTCCTGAAGCCAATGCCTACTTGGCACAGGTAAATGAGTGAGAGTCGAAGGGCTTCTTCCAGGAGCTTAGAGCAGGCTCTGCGCCCTGGCTAGAGCAGCTAAGTTTTCTCTGTTCACAGCTACCTTGACAAATTTTGTTCTCTGAATTCCACAGTTTTGCTCAATGCCACTTACCGGAATTGAGGGATCATGAGCTTCTCAAATGTCCTTGATTTTTCAGAACTCTCTAGTAGATGGCATTCCGTGGCATAATCCTTGGGAGGTTGGACAGCTGTAATTCTTTGGGGGCACTGGACAGCGTAACCACTGCTGGGTCTGTTTTCCTAGAGGTGTTCCTGTTTTGTACTTGGCATTTATCCAAGAGCAGTCAAAACTATTTGATTATGACCTGAAGAGAAATTATTTACATCTTTAAATGAGTATTCCAGAGAAATATGAATCTCTGTGGTGACGGAAGTGTCTACATAAGCATGTATGCACGGACACACTAGTCCTTTGCGCTTGTGGTGGACACCTCCCGATGGTTGAAACTTTAATAAGCTGAGTGAGGATAATGGCAGATCTGTCATACAGGCAAGTACTTTTGCAGGCTTAAGGAAATGTGGGATTTCCAAGACAGAGCACACATCCCTCTTGAGGAATCCATTTTCTTCTGTTAAACATACTGGACTGGGCAGTTGTCTTGTGCAGAAGTGAATCCCATCTCCTTGTCAACTCCCCCTTCACCAGCAGCTAGTGCTGAATAAGCAAGCAGTAAATCATAAGCTCTCCCTTCCTCCAGGTCACTCAGAGACCTGTGTGGTCCCTGAGATGATATTAGAATCTGTGTTATATTCTGAACAGTCATCATTAAATCTTTTTCTTGCAATCAAAGCATGCATAAATATATGTCGGTGCATGCTCGTGTGTGTCGAAGTCGATGTGCTTTCCTAAGCAATGGAGCCTGACCTTGCCCTGTCGTGGGGCAGCGAAATGACAAATCATCTCATCAGTTAGGTTATCCAGTTATGACCACATTGAAAAATGAAGGCTTCTGCTTTGGTTAATGACTAAATGTGGGTGCCTCTAACCCCCCGGCAGAAGAGATTGATGGCCTGGTGTCCCCAGCTCTGTTTCACTGTCCTGTCTTCTTCCTCTGCCTCCCAAAGCACTGCAAAATGTCTGTGGCTCATGTCACAGCAGAGCCTTGTCACTTCCAGCTTTCATTGCTTACAGAGTATTGATGCCACAGGATTCCTGGATCAAAGGATCTAGAAGGATTCTCTGGTGCTACCTTCATTGCAAGGCCTCTGCCGCTGCCATGGGCAGAGATCACTTGTGTGTGGGGAGAGGCTTCCAGACAAGGAAGCAAAATGGCCGTGAAGCTTGTGCATGCTTGTGTGGAGTTTAAAACAGCACAAGCCTTCTGCCCTTGCTCTTGCATTGAGTGGAAAGGGCAGAGAAGCGGGGAGGCGCCTCACTCCCAGGTGCAGGCACCCGACGGAAGTTGAGATAAGGTTGGCCGTGAGGAAAAGCTCCCCTGCAGCCCCTTGTGGTTTCCCTGCTGGAAAGGAGCTGGGCAGGAAAGCAGGCAGG